AGGGCCTACTATGTGTTAGGCACAGCTCTGGGCAGTTTACCTACTCTCTCATTTTCCCCCTCCAACAAACCTTGAAGTAGACATTATAATCTCCATTTTTCAGATGAGAAAACAAAGCACCTACTATGTGTCAGGTCCAGGTCAAGCGCCGGGGTTGAGATTAGTGATCAAGCATAGGAGCAAAGGCCTGGACTTGTCTGACCCCAGTTCTACTGCTCATCAGTGTGATTTCTTCCTTCTTCACTGCTGTACATCTGACCTCATCAATGCAGGGGCCACACACTCTAGAGAAGGATAAGCAATCAGAAACGAGCCTGGGTTTGTCTACAGCGCCACATCCATACTGCTCAACTGCCTTCCACGTCAGCCTCAAATCAAGTGCCCATGCTGGTGGCCACCATGTGGAGGGTCTGTCTATCCTCACCCACTCTTAAAGTCAGGTCTAATTGGACAGATACATATTTTTTTCATTTCTCCTAATGCTATCCCTCCCCCTCCCCCTCCCCCCACCTCACGACAGGCCCCGGTGTGTGATGTTCCCCATCCTGTGTCCAAGTGTTCTCATTGTTCGATTCCCACCTATGAGTGAGAACATGCGGTGTTTGGTTTTCTGTCCTTGCGATAGTTTGCTCAGAATGATGGTTTCCAGCTGCATCCATGTCCTACAAAGGACATGAACTCATCCTTTTTTGTGGCTGCACAGTATTCCATGGTGTAGATATGCCACATCATTTTCTTAATCTAGTCTATCATTGATGGACATTTGGGTTGGTTCCAAGTCTTTGCTATTGTGAATAGTGCCACAATAAACATACGTGTGCATGTGTCTTTATAGTAGCATGATTTATAATCCTTTGGGTATATACCCAGTAATGGGATTGCTGGGTCAAACGGTATTTCTAGTTCTAGATCCTTGAGGAATCGCCACACTGTCTTCCACAATGGTTGAACTAGTTTACACTCCCACCAACAATGTAAAAGCATCCTATTTCTCCACATCCTCTCCAGCACCTGTTGTTTCCTGACTTTTTAATGATCACCATTCTAACTGGTATGAGATCTGGTATCTCATTGTGGTTTTGATTTGCATTTCCCAGGCAGAGATTTTTACACAGCAATCCCCAGGGGTTCTCCTTCGTGAAGTGAAGGAGGTATGTAGAAGTGTTATTTTGATAAACACCAGGGAAAATGAACTTATAAACTATTGGATAATATATAATCAAATGGAATGATAGTTAAATAGGAAAACAAAAATAATGTTCTATGAGCAAACCCAAAAAGGAATGGGAGGATTTATAATTATCTTGTGCACTTGGTTAGCAGAGAAAAGCAAATAAAGATTTCTGTCTAGAATGGCTTGAGGACCTAAATCACCTGGTTTAAAAGTGCAGAAGAAGAGTTTTGTTGAACAACAGCCATAGCTCCAGATGACTGGCATTCATAGAGGAAAAAAAAAATGCCAAAAGGCTACGAATAATTCTAGTCTGGCACTGAAAAAAGAAAAAAAAAATTAAATGCTGCTCTAGGACAAGAGAGGAAGCTGCTGTAGTAACCAGACTTTTCTACAAAACTGAAACGTGTTCACCTAATCAAATGGCTCCTAATTAGCTATTTAGAGCCACTGCCACCACAGCTATATAGAAGTTTTGAACAAGAAAACTATAGATGTTTGTCAAAAGCAAAAATGGATCTGCTTGCAACACTCAAATAAATATTGTAAAAGATGGAATAAAATATGGAGATATTGTCTCCATTCCATGAAAAAATTTTTTTCAGATTGCTAAGCATGTACCAAGAAAGATTATTTCTGTGGACACACACACACACACACACACACACACACCACCCACCCAAGTCTTTAAGTCTTTAGAACATGGCCAGGTCCTTGTATCTGGGAGACACATAACTCTAAATATACCTAAATCTCTCTCTAGTGACTGAAAAGTTACATTTACGTTTGGAGTGATGTGAGCTCTTCAAAACTCCCATTTTATTTCCCTTTAGGCTCTTATTAATTGCATTATTTTGTCACTCATGTTATTTACAATATACATTATACATCAAGCTGAGATTTTTCACAAAGTACAATTAGTAGACTGACTTCAAGTAGAGTTGTATAATGGACTTTGCACATATAGTTGCTAAAGGGTTCAAAACTAAACATTGTAAGGTGTATTTCAGAAACTTATCAATTTCATTGTAATGGACTAAAGCTATTTTTTAACCTAAGCCCATTTTAAGAGGAATTAAAACCAGTAAGTGCCATTGCCCTAAATTAGAAGTCAATATTAACTCCTTTATTATTAATAAAAGTATGGCATTCTTAAAGTGCTCTTTATAGCATAAGAGAGGTATGGAGCCACCCAGGTAACTACAGGAAATAGCTGTATATTAAATGATATTGTGTCAGGTATGAAAAGTAACCGTGACAATTTGTGGAGTTAAAAGTTTCACAGAGATTGGAGAGAATAAGCAAGCAAGCACATACATCTGGGGTAACTGAGGTTAATGGACAAATGGTTCCACATACACAGGTTTACAGCCCTGGAGGGCACATCACCATGTTCACACAGATGGCCCAAACCATCCAGAAAAGAGAAAGTTCCAAGCAGCCCTCTCTGCTTCAGAAGACAGAGGAGTGTGTCTTCATTTTAGAAAGATTACCAACAAAGTGAGAGCTTAAACAATCTGAGAAACTAACCTATTGGGAACATATTCGTTCCCCTACAACAGAGGATAAATGAGGCTTTGTTGTACTTGTGAAGTGCTACATGGCAGACTAAAAAAGATGCGGTTATGTCTTTTTTGTTGTTGTTGTTGTTAAGAAAAGGAAGCATAAACCCTACAAACAATACACTAAGCTATTGCTAATGCCAAAGAAAGCGCTCTATTTGTAAACAGAAGGATCTATTTGGTATTTAAGCAGTAATGGTTCAGGATCATCTGCAGGATAATTAAATTAACATCAGTCATTCATCACTTCCTTTGGCATTGGTGGTTAATCCTCAATGAAGACTTTCCTTTCAGTGAAGCATACCCGCTTATTTAACGTGTGTTCAAGTAAAATAGAGACCACCTTGCAAAGTTTTAAAAATAAGTAAATCCACCTACAAAAATTCAGAAACTTTACTCAAGTTCACAGATAAAACTCATGAGCAGAACTGACAGGTCCAAAGGTTGGCAGAAGGAAATTTAGCCAACAAAATAGATAGTGTAAAATAAACTCACTTAGACTCTCCCTTCCCAACTTAGGTTGAGCTTTCACTCTAATACTGTATTAAGACCAATATAAAACTTTCAAAAGTAAAAATTGTATACATTTCTTTTCCCCATATGTATATTGGGTCAATTCATCACAGACAGCATGTGATGCAATAAAGGACAGTCCCTGAGCTCTCAAAACCTAACTGCATATGGAACAGGACTTATCACTTGATTTCCTTTTGATTTACATTATTTCAGAGCAGTCATTTTCACAAAGGAGATACTCTATGTCATTCAAGCATACATTCTTTCCACAGACCAGTATCAATGCTCTTGAGGAACTTATATTCTCAGTGAAAAACAAAATAAATGTAATCAATTCTCACTGCACTTACGATCTGAAAGAACATGTATTTTTTGAATGACTGTGTTTGTCAGGTGTATTTTAGAATTTCAGAATAAATAAGGTGTATTTGGACCTATGGCTGTTGAGAATTATAGCCAAAGTTGTTGGAATATTTGCCCACTGGAGACAAAATAATAAAGATCTGTTCACAAAAGTTAGATGGCAGCCCAATTCAACCATTTGTTAGGCAATCTGGTGTCATCCAACAGCCTTCAGACCATGCTGGGAGTGGGCAGAATCACTGTCCATGCTGTTTGGCCTCACCATAGCAGCCTCCCTCTAATTTTATGGTTTCTAAGATTCACTTGGTTCTAAGGACATGAAAAAGTTTGGGTTTAAAATGTTTTCTCTCTCATGGTATCTAAACTTTGGAGCTGGGGACACTGCCTGAAATTTCCATCTTTCCAGGAGCAAACTGAATCACAGTCAGCAAAGAGGCGATTTCAAAGAGGAGAAAATCTAGAATCGCGGTTCTTAAACACTTTTTATTCATGGATTCCTTTGAGAATCTGATGAAAGATATAGACTGTCTTCAGAAGAAAGAAAAGAAGGATGGGAGGGAGGAAGGGAAAGCAGAGAAAAGAAAAGAAAAAAGCACACACTTTTTTGCCTATTTTTTACAAAGATTTCAAGGGAAAAATCACTGATGTCCTAAATCTAAACCAGACCCAGATAAAATCAATGGTACTGTGGCCATTTTCCCCAAGCTCTTATTGGCTTTGAATTGTGTTTCTTGTTTTCTAGTCCAGGGTCCAGCTGGCGTCGCTCCTTTGCTGGGTCAGTGGGCCCGGGACCCTTCACTGGGTGGAAGACAGAAGGAGGGCACAGATTCTGGGCTCCTGCTCTTTCTGCCTGCTAATCAACAGTCTTCAGCACTCAACCCTGGCTGAAAGCTCAGGAGGCTGTGCCAGCTTTGACTGTCTTCTACTAAATGAGGGTAATTCACATATAATTTCTTTTCAACACTTCCAGTGTTCCTTCCCAGTGCTAAGGACATAATCCAACAAGAAATCAAGTTTCACAGTTTTAGTAAAAAAAAAAAAAAAATACAACTAAAAGTGCATATTATAATACATTTGTGTCCAACTGACATTTCTGACAAATACTTCAACTGTTTAACAAACACTGATGAGGAACTGAAAACACCAACAAGGCACTCATCCAATTTGCACTAGCCTGTAAGTGCTGGCAAGCATCAGTGTCTGCTAAGGCTTTTAGTGTTATTGATAGCTTATTCAAATAGGCTGGAGCGGTCCCCCAGGGCCCGAATCACCACTACCTCTGAGGAATAAACCACTTATAAAGCAAAGACAGACACAACATGGTCAGCAATGAGTGCTTTGCAATGCCTAAATCAAAATGGCCCTTCTATGATGTATCTATGATGTAACCAGAGGGCAGTAACCCTTTCTTATAGTTACAACCCAATTAGCTGCATGAGGGCCTTGAAAAGCACAGAATGACTTCCTTTAAGGAAAAACACAGTGCTATTTTAGGAAACTTGAACAGTGTGATGGCCACAGAAAATACCATGATTTTAAGGTTTGTTCTTTCAGATACATCCTACGGGCTCACTGAGAGGACAAAAATGTCAGGGAAATAAAAAAGGCACGGTAAAAAAGTAAAGAAAGGTGGAGAACAGAAATTGAAGCACTGAAAGAAGATTGGATCTGGCAACTGCGACTTTATGTTGGGGGAGGAAGAAACAGGTGGAGGGAGGTCTAAAGAGGTGATGTGGTAGCTCCTCGCTGGCCGGGGTGGAAAGGAGACTGGACTGCCACAGATATAGGTGACAACTAATGGGTTCAAGGCTCCATGCTCCACAGTGGGGAAGGTAAGAGAATGAAAACATTTGAGGCTAGAGAATGATGACTTTGGTTTTTAAATGTGTATACATATATTATATACACATTGTAATATATAATTATATATAATACACACATTACACATATGTATATATCTTTTGCTTTTATTTTTTTGTTTTCTTTTTTTTTTTTGCAGGAAGTTGGGGATAAGAGGGAAGCAGACTGAGGAAAGAACAGGTAAAGGTAGTATAAAAACAAAAAGAACATCAATTAGTTGGAACATGTTTGAAGAGCTTTGATCGGCTTTTGGAGAACCTCAGTAGCAAAATGCAAGATACGTGTTTTGGGTAAAATATCTGGATATAGAACCAAGAGGAATAGTGTCTGATTCCATTGGTATACAACACCTGCTTTATACTCATCACACACAGTTCAGTCATGGTGGTGGTTTCAGACTGACATACTCAAGACATGCTGGTCTGCCCGTTCCTCTGGTAACCAAATTTTGGCTACCTCATTGCTCATTAGGCTTTGAATCAGGGCCTGATCGGGGGAAATAAAAGAAGGAAAAAACTTGAACCAGTTCATTTGTGAGCAGCTCCAGTTAAAAGATTGATGGGGAGGAGATTGGAACTATCACGAAGTTTGGTTATTATCTGTGAGTTTCAATGACATTTGGCATCTTGGCTCCCAGGAGAAGTGATCATTGAGAGCCAGCTGTAGAAACGGCAATTATAGGATGAGGAGGGTATCAGCATTTTGAAGGGCAGTTTTTTATTGGCAGATAGGTTTGGTTTTAAGAAGCCAGTTGGCAGGGTTGTGTGTCTCCTGACATTCATCTATCAGAAGATGCAACGCAAAATAGGCCATTTGCACTTCCACGTCAGAACCACCAGGATAACTCGGAGACCCCTTTCAGATGATGAAAACAGTGGGAAGCTCAAGATGAGAAGAGTACCGGGCAAATGTAAGAGTCCAGATAAGTCCCACTGGGCAGGGAGAACCAAGCTTCAGCAATTTGAAAACTCCATGAGGCAAGGAGTATGCCTTACGTAGAGATGGAAAAAGTCCTTATTCTAGGGACTGAGAAGGGGATTTTCCAGTGTCTCAAAACACAAGAACCAAGGTCTGATGCCTTCAATCTATGTAAAAATCTGTGTAATGATTTACTATTATGGAAAGATAGTTGGGATAAGTTGTTCTATGTGAAGAAAGCAGCTTATAAAACAGTATATTAAATAATTCGGCTTTTGTAAACAATATTATAGGTGAAAAAAGACACTTGGGAAGAAATAAAATACAAATAGTGATTATATTTAGGAAGTAGGATTGTGGATCATTTCCATTTTCTTCTATTTGCTTACCTAAATCTTTACATTTTTCTACATTGAACACATACTGCTTGAATAGTAAAAATATATTTTAAAAAAGTATTCATACTAAAAAATGCATTTAATATATTTTAAAATGTATGAATCAGGTGTCACACACCTGTCGTGTTGGACCTCTGAGAATAAAAGAGCAATTTGATAATTTATTTCTAAAAGCTCCTAGTGGCTGCCCCAGGATCTCGTAAGGAAAGATCAGGAGGGTACAATGTAGGCTTCACTGCCTACAGTATATTTGCAAGAATGTTTAAGATCTGCTAACTACTTAAGATCCTATGGAGCCTGTAATTACATACAATTTATTTTGTCAGTGCCTGAATAGTAAACTAGAGGTTGCCTGTGGTTTTCTTCTTATTTGATAAGATAATACCTCCAAGATTCAAAGGATAGCAAATAAAGATGATAGTTCCCCAATCTTGGCACCAGAGTGTTGAGTGGAAACTTTCCTCGTGTTCTACTTTTGGTGGATTTAATTCCGCTGTTCTGCTGAGTGGGTGCAACTTTCTGCAGAGAATAAGGCTGCTCTGTGCTCTGCCTCCTTCCTTTTGAAGTGTTTCCTTTTCCACTTCTGCTTCCCACTCATCTAGTCACTTCATGGAAGGAAGAAAACAAAGGTCCTGGTGGAGAAGACAGGGTTGTAGACTGGACTTATGACGGCCAGTAAGGAAGCTCCTGTGAATGTGTGATGTTGAGCAGCTAGTGTGGGGTTGGTACCATAGCAATGGACATGGCTGGGCTAAATCTGAGAGATAAAAACGCCTGTGACTTTCACTAAACCGTTACATTAATTTCCCAAAGCAACGAAAGCAACAATAACAACTGTACCTTTAATGCACTAGATGCCTTATACAGATTATCTTGCAAACTCAGAACAAACCTGTCCAGTAGAAATAAACAGACCTATTTTACAGACAAGGAAGCAAAGGTGGAGGGATGTGAAGCACACGCCATGGGAATATAACGTATGCCTACATAAGCACACAGAAACATCCAGCTACGAAAACAACATAGAAGCCTGCTTTCATAACAGCTTATCATTAACTTCTCTTTCACTGAATGGAAGAGTTTAACTCAAAAATGGGTTTGTAAGCACATATCAAGTGCTTAAATACATAATTCTGAAGATACTCTGGGTTCTCCTAGTTTCTTCACTGGCTATTAGGGTGACTGTGGGAAAAATACCTCACCTCTCTGTTCTTCAGTTTGCTAATCTGTGAAATAAAGACAATAATGGGGTGTACCACATGGCGGGCTACTGTGGGCATTAAATGATATAAGGGGAGAAGGTAAACCCCCAGGGGTGATATCAACCATACAGGCTTTAACAGTCATTGATTCTCTCTTCATTCTGTGGATGAGGGAACGCAAGTCCAGATGAGTAGGAGCTGAAGATCTTTCCATTCTAAAATCATATCCAATATAATACAGCTCTGACTCCAGGGACTTCTTGGCCCCTATTTTGATACTTCCTTTTTTGAGACGGAGTCTTGCTCTGTCACCCAGGTTGGAGTGCAATGGCAAGATCTTGGCTCACTGCAACCTCTGCCTCCTGGGTGCAAGCAGTTCTCTTGCCTCAGCCTCCCATGTAGCTGGGACTACAGGCGCACGCCTCCATGCCTGGGTGGTTTTTGTACTTTTTTTTTTTTAGCAGAGACGAGGTTTCACCATGTTGGCCAGGCTGGTCTCAAACTCCTGACCTCAGCTGATCCACCCACCTCAGCCTTCCAAAGTGCTAGGATTACAGGCGTGAGCCACCACACCCAGCCCCTATTTTAATACTTTTGATGGACAGAAAAGTCATTCTTCATTTCCATGCCCTATTCGTAGAGTTTTAACCTCCCGCTCTCACAGAAGAAAAACAATGCTGAAGTGAACATTTCTTGGGGATTGAGATCGAATTTCAAAACCTTAATACTGTTTTGGATAAATGTGTTTTCAAGAGATACAACTAAGGTAGAGACACTGTCTAATGTGCTACCAGTGTCTCTCAATGTCCGGACTAAAGACTTTTGTTGAATTTGTTTCTACTATCTGGAAAGGCATCAATGTAAAATAAGAAAATTCTGATATTTAATTCTCTCTCAGTGGGTTCTAAATAAAGTCCCTACAATTTACCTTCTTTAGTGGTGGTTCAAGGATTGCTATTGTTTTTTTTTTTTGTTTTACTAGTTCAACATATGGGGAAAAAAAAAGTCAGCGGACACAGAAGTTCAACTTTCCAAATCACATCTGATTTTTGTCAAAGCACAAGCTACATCTTAAAGAGGTGGCAATAAATGTGTATGTTTTGTGCTCTGGACCTTTCATTTGTATTTCCAGGTCCCAAATGTCTGCTCACCTCCCTCAACCACCATGAACCAGATTCTGAGAACTCATGCCATATATCCCATACTCATTTCAATTCCTTATGTATCTTCCATAGTTTTCATCAGCCATGTTTTTATCATTTTTGTCACTTTGCCTTTTAGAACTGTCTTATTATACTTCATTATTTACATGCTTTTCAGTTTTCTTCATTCCAATGCATCTGTCTTTTGTAAGATGTCATAAATATTCAGAAAAAAATATTAATTGCTTTCACATCAGGGATAAATACATTACTTTGTTTTCTTTCTTTCCCCACCTCCCCACCCCCTCACACCAACATTTAACACTAAGGCCTATCTGAAATTTATTAGACTATTTGGTTATGACAAAAAGTATATTATTCTTTCTCTCACTGTTTTTACTTCTTAGAACTGCTATTTTATTGGTCTTGCAAACTTCATTAAATAATTGATCCTTTCTTCAAAGGTCTATTGTTCATTTGTATGTTTTAAATTAAGTTCACTAAATAATCTAAATAATCAAAATATGGAACTTCTATTTATTTTTAATCTGTCTAGTTTTCAGTCCAATATCATAGAATTTTAGTAATAGTCATTTGTAATCGATATTTTAATTTGTTAAGGCCAGTTTAACTTCATGGCTTCTATTAATTATAAAAGCAGCTTTTATGTTCCTGATTCTTCCTTCTAGATCATTTAACTATCAGATTATAGAGTATTTTGTAAGGACTTTTATTCATAATTTATAGGAATCCTTAAGCCAAAGAAGGTTGGGAATTTCTGTGTCAACCAATCAACCAATGTTTTTAAATTCAAGCAATATGCATTAAGCTCCTACCACTTGCAGGCACAAGGCCAGGCTCTAGGGCTAAAAAGATAAGGAGGGTATGCCTCTTCCCACCCCATCCCCAAATGAGTGCAATTCCAATTCATGAAGGTTAAAGCTAAGACAGAGTGCACAAACTTAGAACAGCTCCAGGAAGGCTGTTCACCCGCCCCCTCCACCCACCACCCTCACCATTACTCGTTTTCACTTATAAGTATCAAAATAAATAAAAGGCTCCAGGAAAGCAAGGGCCTGAGAGTATTTCTGCATATTATCTTATTTGACTAAATACTCCACATGTATATGGGCCTTATTTGTGTATGGAATTAGAGGTTAAAAGACATGAAAGCCTGGATTGAAAAATGTGTCTTAAGAGACATGCTTCACTGGAATGGATAAAGCCAATGATTGTCCTGACCAACCTCAAATCCAGCTCAACACCATTAGCCAGGCAGAAATGTTTTGCCGGCCAGTTGAGGCTAACACTGCCACTTTAATTAAAGAGTTATGATGTCAGTTTGGAAACACAATGGGAGAGCAGCTGTGCTCCAGCAATACATTAATACAATTTCCATCAACGTGGATAAGCTCCTACACAATGCAAAGGAGATGTGTGCAAAGCTACAAGGTGAAAGCAGCTGTAAGCAGAGGGCAATCTCAGAGTTTCTACTGTGAAGGAATTACTCTTCTTAGATTATTAGATCTCTTGCTTATGTTTTCATTAATATTTCTTAACGTTCATGGTCAAGATTCTAAGTCACAGGACTTTAAAGGTGCTATAATCATTAACCACATAAAGAAAAGTCATGAGGCTGACCATAGCAATAGGTCATTCAATTTACTTAGCAGTGAGCCCTAACACTCCCACCTTCATGCACTCCTGCTATTCATCATGATAAGCAGTGCCTGAGTCTAAACCCATGTCTATCAGAGTTAATACACGTACATTTTAAACGTTCTGTGACTAAACTTGCCACTAATACATATTTTGTTAATTACCTTCATATAACTCTCCAGTATCATTACTTCATATGTGTGTATATATCATCAGATCATTTGATTAATACTGACATGTAGTCAAGAAGAAAAGTATGTTTCATGCTATTTTGAGTAACTTCCATTTAGAAGCCTACTCCTGAGCACAAAATTTGCAATACATAACTCACTTTGCAACTCCAATTTTACTCTGAGAAATACCCTTTTAAAAAGATGCATGCAGCCTTCATGTTTCCTTATTTTTGTTGGTATTCCAAATCCACAGTGGATAAGGAATTACCCTTGACATGTAATTATCTTGTAGATTTGAACACCTTATAGCTAAAAATGTATTTGCTTAAGAGTTCACTAATACGTTTTTTTTTTGAGATGGAGTCTCGCTCTGTCTCTCAGGCTGGAATGCAGTGGCACAATCTCGGCTCACTGCAAGCTCCGCCTCCTGGGTTCATGCCATTCTCCTGCCTCAGCCTCCGGAGTAGCTGGGACTACAGGCACCTGCCACCAAGCCTGGCTAATTTTTTTGTATTTTTTGTAGAGATGGGGTTTCACCATGTTACTCAGGATGGTCTCCATCTCCTGATCTAGTGATCCACCCACCTCAGCCTCCCAAAGTGCTGGGATTACAGGCGTGAGCCACCGCGCCCGGCCAGAGTTCACTAATATTTTAAGAGTCAAGTGTTTTGCCTCTTTTTTGTCCCAAGTGGGGTTCATCCTTCATCTGGGGATCCTTTATGTAGCATAGGTTTCTCACTTTTTTCTTTCTCTCAAGATAAACACT